AATTTACAAAAATAAATATTACATTTGACGAATCTTTAACAATTTTAATTTAATTAATGGAGTTATGATTTTGTTTTTCCCCTGAAATCTCTGCCTTTCCTTAGTCGATGTTTTTTTTTGTCCTGGACTTTCTTTTGTAGACAAATATAACTCGTAGACCGTGACTTGAAAACCAGAAGAAATATAATTTCTTTTCTAATTTTGAACAACGAAGAAAAAATAATCTACGATTGATAATTATAGATGAGTGGAAAATTTATAATTAGTTGTCAAATGCAAGTAATATGCTAGGTTCGGTTTCTTTCTCAAAACAAAAAAAAGATGCTAGGTTCGAAACGTGATGATTTATTATTGGGATCCCTTTATTATTTACGTTTTTGTTACTATATATAAACGGAAATGCAATAGTCGTATCTCCCATTTTGACCACGTTGTGGATATATCCATATGTATGCAAATAATGGTTAGTAGAAGAGAAGTTAACCAAAAGGTTAGTGTATTTGGAAGCTGAGATATAACGATAACTACCGTATGTTAACAACTTGCAGTGACTCAGAGTTAGTAGAAGAGATTGTTGCGGATGTGCTCGAGCAGCTGTATCCAACGGGTAAGATCGGGATCTACATGAGGTTGCTCGGGATCGAAAACTTACTTTGCAAGCAATCTCATGACATATACCGACTAGGGATATGGGGTATGCCTGGCGTAGGCAAGACTACCATTGCTGGAGCAGCCTTTCACCAAATATCTCAAGGCTTTGAAACTCATTGCTTAGTCGAAGACTTTCACGCAAATTTTCATAAGAAGGGGCTACACATATTCCGGGAAGAAAATTTTGTCGAAAAACTAAGAGAGAAAAAAGTTCTTGTTGTTCTTGATGATGTCCGCAATCCTATGGAAGCCGAATCTTTCCTTGGAGGATTTGATTGTTTTGGTCCTGGAAGTTTAATAATCATAACATCACGAGATAAGCAAGTTCTTTATCAGTGTCAGGTTGAGGATGTTTATGAGGTACCGACTTTAAACAAGAAGGAGGCTCTACGTTTATTCACCCGATTTGCGTTTCCAGATAAAGAACTAAGTGATAGTAACCTAATAGAGGTGTCAAAGAAGGTCGTTGAGTATACTAATGGTAATCCTACAGCTCTCTGCTTCTATGGCAGAGAGTTGAAGGATAGGTCGGAACCAGAAGAAATGGAGGAAGATTTCGAGAAGATTAAGCGATGTCCTCCGAGGGAGATTATTGATGTCTTCAAGGGCAGTTACGATGTGCTCAGCGACAATGAGAGGAGCATATTCTTGGACATTGCTTGCTTCTTTAACGGTGAAAAACTCGATTATGTCATGCGTATACTTGAAGGTTGTGGTTTCTTTCCACACGTTGGAATCGATCGTCTCGTGGAACGATCTCTATTGATGATATTACAGGAAAAAGTAGAGATGCATAATTTGATTCAGGACATTGGTCGAGAAATTGTGAACGAAGAAAAGAAACAAATGACGTGGCCTCGCAGAGTGTGGGAATCTTCAAGCATCAAATTATTACTTGAAGACAATGAACCTAAGGTACTACTGGTTCTTATATTTTTTAGTTTCTACAAATAGTAGTGAGAAAAAAATCAGTTAGTGATCAAAATTCTTAGACTACACTTAGTTAATGATCCCATGTAAGAAACCTAACTTAGAAAATTCCTTTTTCTTCTTTCCTCCAAATTATTATATTTGATTTAAATTAATCGGTTTGTATAAACCTCTTCATCAATCTGATCCTCTTTTGTGTGTGTGTGCGTGCTTTTTTTTCAGGGCACTGAAGTTATTGAAGGCATTTTTCTTGACACAACAAACATAAACGTTGTTGTTAATCATATGGCGTTTGAGAATATGTATAATCTTCGACTGCTGAAGATTTACAGTTCAAGCTCTGAAACTGCTCAAGAACTCTATCTACCTGAGGGACTTAACTCTCTGCCTTATGAGCTCAGGCTACTTCACTGGGAAAAGTATCCGTTGCGATCGTTGCCTCAAGATTTTGATCCTAGCCACCTTGTTGAACTCAATATGCCTTATAGCCAACTTCAGAATCTTTGGGGAGGAACAAAGGTTAGGAATCTTTTGATCCTC